GGCGGGCACCCCGGCCAGAGCGCGGGCAAATCCCGCCTTTGATCCCTTTGTCCGCTCTTGGGGCTCTGCTGCTCAATAGATCACAGCCTGGGAGTTAATTTACTCATTATCTATACATTTGCCAGGATTTAAATGCCATTTTTGCTCACGTCCTCCCTTCATTTGTGTGATTTCCCCTTATTTCCAGGACTATTGCCCTCCTGCCGTGGCTGGGTATTGCATGCCCTGGTGGGGTTGGTGTCACTGCTGCCTGCCTTGGCTTCTTGCAGAGTTGAAAATGCTCTTTAAAAATAGAATTGCTACAGAAAAGGCCATTTTAGTTGCAAATATTTTTTGATAACATGTGGGTTTGCCTACATCTCCAATGAAAAAAGAAAAAATAATTCCAGTGCTGATGAATAAAAATACGTGGATAGAGCTGGTAATAAAATGGGTGGGTTCTTCTGGCAGCTGTGAGGGTGTGGAGATCCACAAGAAGTCCCCAGTGCTGGGGATACTGAAGGTTTCACTGTGAAGCAGCCTTGCAGTGGGTTCGTTTTGGCCATTTGATTAAATTTGGCCACAACCCTCCTGTTGAGCAGATGCTCCAGGAATGCCCATTTCATCACTTTCCACTATAACCTGAGACAGTGAATCTGGGGTTAAAAGCCTGAAGGGAAAGCTGATAAATGTGTATAATATAAACTATTGAAGACTAAAAAATTCTGAAAACACTGGAGAAAGTAAATACAATAAATTTGGGGCGACATTTCTCTTCCTATCTCAGGTTTTCCAGCCACAGCTTTCCAGCCCTGTGACAGCCCAGAGCTCCACATCCCCTCCAGACAGGGTGGGCTGGAGGAGACTGATGGGTGCCGTTGGCCGCTGCGTTGGTCTGTACGGGGTGTGTGGAGTCGTGGCTATGCAGAACACGGTGAGGGCTTTTTGTTTTCTCGCCTGGCTTTTTTTGATGGCCCATTGCCCCTTGGCTGTCGGGATCCTGCCCACTAACACCTGTGTGTGACCAGGGCTGTGGGCAGGCAGTGGGATGGCAGCGAGCACTGGGCTCATGGCCTCTGGTGCCCCTGGCAGTCACAGGGAGATGCTGTGACCGCTGTGAAGATGCTGAGATGCCTCCAGGGCCTGCCAGGTCACTGTGTGCATTCAGCATGGTCCTGTTTATCCAGCAGCGCCAGGGCCCTTTATGAGGGTGAGCTACACCACGTTTACTGGCTGCTGTGTGAGGCTGTCAGCCTGTGGGGCCCAGGCTGGGCTCCCAGGCCATGGCATGAGCATCCAAGTGACCCACGAGCACGCAGCCTCCCCCGGGGTCCCGCTCCTGGCTCCCCACCAACCTTCCTCCTGATAACTTTGCCTGAATGCTTTGCAAATCAGCCAGCAACCAATTTATCCCTGAAGTATTTTGGAGATGTCACTGTGGGAATGTTAATGAGCGTGATTCCCTGCTCCGGAGCTGGAGCATGTGCGGCCATGCAGGGGGCAATGCAGCCATGCAGCGGGCCATGCAGCCATGCAGGGGGCAATGCAGCCATGCAGCGGGCAATGCAGCCATGCAACGGGCAGGGGGGCAGAGCTTTATTCATGTTGGGACATCCTGGCCCTCAGACCCTGCTTCCCCACGGCGCTGCTTGGCAAACCTGCGGAGAGATGGAGCCATGGGCTGGCCAGGATCTCACGCTCAAAATTTGTTGTTTTTGGACGGAGCTGCCAGGCGCCCTCTCCCCTCGTGGCACTGAGCACGGCTGTTTATTGGAGCCGACAGAAACACAAGCAGTTGTCGGCGCTGCCGCGGGAGTCGTGTCCCCAGCAGAGCAAGGAGCACGAGGGAGCTGATGACTAACACAGTGCTGAGTTTTATGTGCTCCCAGCTGAAGGGCCCCATATGTTCCCCTCGGCAGCCCAGGGCAGAGCTGCTCCTTTGGCCCCAGAGCAGGAAGCCTTGTTAGCTCCAAGGCCTGGCTCCCAGGAGCTGGGCAGGGAGCAGGGCCAGGACACACCTGAGCAGTGTCCCTCCTGCTGGGGCAGCCAGGGCCCTGCTGTGGCCTGTTGGGGCAGCCCAGAGCTTGGCAGCAATATGGGCACCGTGTGTGTTGGCAGCTCCAGGGCGAGTGCCACTGGTGAGCTCTGCGGGCAGCACTCAGCCAGACTGGAAAGATTTATGGAGATCAAAATGTCTCCAGTCTACCCTGGCTAACCTGAATCTGTTACTCTGCAAGAGTGTTGTGATCTAATTGGTGCCCTTCACTTGGAGCCATCTCTTGGAGCATTTTGGGAGGATCCAGGAGCAGGAGTAGTGGCATTTCCTCAGCAAGCTGCTGCGTCATTAAAACAGCCTGCTGGCTCACACAAACCATGCTTAGTAAATCTGTGTGCAGCTTTATTGCAAGAGGGATTAGGAGATCCTGGGGTGTAGTTAAACCCACATGAAGCACACATAGATCACATCCTCCCTGAGCACCCATGCTCCCGGTTGCTCATTGCCACATCTGCCCACGGTGCTGCCCACCTGGGTGCCTGGCCTTGGAGCTCCCTGGGGAAACACAGGCACTGTAAGGTGATCACACAATTCTGAATGGAGAAGCAGCTCGTAGGAAGGCCATTGCCTCTCACAAACAGCCTTCTGTGGCCAGTGAAGGCCCCCCACTCTGCTCGGTGGTCTTGCTCCCAGCACATCCGTACTGCCCTGTGCCAGACCTGGCAGCCTGTCACTCCTCGGGAAAGCACCTGGCAAGGCAGGCACAGCTACTCTGTGGTGCAAATGGCTGTTTCACCAGGGCTGGTGCAAATGGCTGTTTCAGCAGGCACATGGCACGTTCCTGAGTGCCTGACTCTGGGAATAACTCCCCGGTCTGGGAGAAGTTTGGCATCCCAGTTGTTGGGAAATAAAAGGCAGCTGTGGTGGTGGCTCTGTCTGTCCTGCACTGACTGACAGGCGGCTGTGCCCGGGCCGGTCAACTGCTCCCTGGGGAATTCTGACCTTGGGTACTTCTAAACTCGAGTGCAACCTGAGTCTGGAGCCGGCAGAAGCAGCAGGTGGTGAGGGTGAGGCTGGCAGCAGGACATGAGGCCGTTCCTGAAGCGATGCCCTTGATGCCCAGCATTTCCTGGATGCCACGAGCCTGGGAAGGACAGGCTGGCGTGTGAAGGGGCCGAGCTGCTGCCCTGGCTGCCCTCGAGTTGCTCCTGGAGGAGAGCTCCCCTCTGGGTGCTGCTTTCCCCAGCCCTGATCCCTGTTTGACCCCGGCCCTGCTTCCTGCAGAGCTGGTCCCGCTCCCAGGGCCGGGCTGCCAGCCTGGCCCTGGCTGGAATTCCCTCACAGTGTCTGCAGCCAGTTCCCATCTGCTCCTTCATTCATGTGATTAATCTGCCAAAGAAATTCCTGATGTAAACACAGCATTATCAGAATTTACTCCGGACTTGGCCCCTGGATTCCCTGCCAGCTTTTGCTGGAATTGCACTTCTGCTACAGCGACTCTTCAGTGCAAACAAACCAGCAGAAGGCAGGGCGGGAGGCCACGGGGTGGGCTGGGGAGGCAGGGATGCTGCAGGTCAGCGCCGGGAAAGGCTGCGGGTGCGATCCTACAGGGATCAGCTGTTTGCAGGGCAGCCAGGAGGCAGCGGAACGCCGCTGGAATGTCTCAGCGCTCCGGAGCACGCCACGAACAAGACCTGCAGCGAACGGAGCCGTGCTCCGCTCCCGGCCCGCGCAGGGCTCGCAGCAGCAGCAGCAGCAGCAGCAGCAGCAGCAGCAGCGCTCCGTGCCCACGGGAGCCCCGACGGACGGCCCCGCTCCGGGCACCCCGGCTCGAGCCCCGGACGGCACGGACGGCGCGGCCCGGGATCCCGGGGACAGCGGGGCAGCGCTGGCACGGCCGGCCCGGTGTCGTGAGGGGGCAGCGCTGGCACCGCCGGCCCGGTGTCGTGAGGGGGCAGCGCTGGCACCGCCGGCCCGGTGTCGTGAGGGGGCAGCTCTGGCGCCTCCGGCCCGGTGTCCTGAGGGGCCGGGACGGACACACGGACCCCGCGGGGCGCTCCGGGGGCGTGGCGGGGCCAGGGACGGAGCCGCAGCGCTACCTGCTGGCTGCCGGCCCGGCTGGCACGGCTGGTACCGGGTGGCACCGGCCCGGCTGGGTGCAGGATGGGACCGGCCCGGCTGGCTGGCCCGGCTGGTACCGCCCCGCGGGGCCACTGTGCCGGGGGGACCCGCACCTGCAGGACATGCGCCGGGCGCAGCTCTGAGACCCCGGCCCTGCAGGGGATGGGGGATCCCAGTGAGCATCAGGAGGTGCGTGGGCGCCTCTCCACGCTTTCCCCCTTGTTGCCTTTCTGAGCTCTGGCCTGACAGCGTGATTTAGTGAGGGTGTTACAGGGAAGCCCCTAAAACGCTGCTTTTTTGCTGGAACAATTGCGTTTTGATGTGGGTTTGGAGGCCAAGGGCTGTTGAGAGAATTAGAGATGCTGGCAAGAACCAGTGCCACACCAACTAGTAAAGTAAATTCCCAGCAAGGCAGGAGTGGGACTGAGGACTGTCTCTCAGGCACAGGTAAGGGCAAAACACTGCAACTTGTCCCCCTGCAGTCTCTGTGCCCAGGGTGCTGGGATCAGGATGCTCCAGGGTCAGAGGAAACCTCTCATTAAAGGTGTTTTTCAAATGAGACTATTTTCCCCCTAAAGCAACTGTGGAATATTTCAATGTATAAAGTAATTCTCCCAGCTATTTTGTCAAAAAGAAGTTTTTAATATAGATTATCTTCTAACTTTATGGAGATTTTATCTCTTATTTCATTCTGTGGAAGAAAAAGTCGCTTCCCACTTGCTCCCCTATGCAGTATCCCAGCTGGGATGGCTCTCCCACACCCAGCTCCTTCCTGCTGTCAGTGCCCTGTCCTCTGCATGAGCCCTGGTGGCTGTTGATGCAGGAGGGCACTGTGACCCTCCCTGGCTGCCTGAGTCTGGGGGAGATAACAACCTGCCCGTGCTCAGCCGGGGGGAAACTCCCTGCATCCAGCTGGGCCTCCATCCCTGCCTTCTCTGGGATTTCATCCTGGCCTTGTCCTCCCTCTCCTGCTGCTCTGAGAGGTGGGATGGGCTCACAGAGAGCCCCCAGATTTGGGTGCTGTGGCCAGCACTGCTCCATCCTCACTCCTGCTCGTCCCTTGCCCCCTGCCCACCGTCACAGGTGCCACTGCCCAAGGGAGGCTGGCAGGAGGAGGCTCAGGGCTCCTGTTCCTGCAGGGCTGTGGAGATGTGGGCCCAGGGCAGGATCCCAGCGCTGCTCCCACAACAGTCCGCAGCCATCACTCGCGCGCATGAGCTCTGTGTTTGTTTTTGTAATCCCCCTTTTTTTTTTAATTGTGATTTTAGCGGTGGTGAAAGGTGCTGGATTGACAGGCCGTGGAGACGGAAGGGCCTCTGAACTCCACAGAAGTTTACATTTACAAAGGACACAGAGAATAAATAGAAGACAGTGTTTAGAGTCCTCTGTAGACACTTCAGACTTGCTTATAATTCTGCAGCAATTCCATCACCTCCAAAGTGATTGATGCTCTCTATAAAGTCTTGCCTTAAAACATTTTCCTATGTGTCAGGGGAAGAAGTTTATTACACTTTACTGAAAGGGCAGGATTTGTCTTGAGCTGAAGGCTGAGTCCTTCCCAGCCCTATCCTCAGGAGAAAAAATAATCAGAGTGCTGGAAAAAAGGAGCCTGACCCAAGGCAGACGTGTGGTTTGTGGTTAGCCAGGTCGAGTGCTGGGTGTGGGATGGAGCTCTCCCTGAGTGCTCCAAACAGGGCAGGAGTAACAGATTTTCATCAAACCGTTGTTTTCTAAAAGCTTACATTTTCTTTCAGTGGAAACATGAGACGGATCTGCTTTCGACAAAAAGAAAATAAATATTTTTTTAAATTAAATCACCAAACACATTGAGCCTGCTTTGGGTTAGAGCTGCTTGTGTTCTGATAAAAGTTGCACAGATCATAGGTCTAAATTTCATTCCATATTTCCAATGAAACAGTTATTTTGGCTTTTGCATGGAAAATTCATGGCAAGGTAATGCATTTCTCCCTGTGCCAGGGCATTCCCAGGGCTGTGGCACCATGGGGCTCTGTGGGGAGCTCAGGTGCCCTGATGCACTCACAGGAGCATCCCTGGGCTCAGGGCTGGGTCCCTCTGTGACATCCCTGGGATCAGGATCAGGGCTGGATCCCTCTCTATCATCCCTGGGATGGATCAAGGCTGGGTCCCTCTCTATCATCCCTGGGATCAGCTCTGGATGCTGCTGTGCAGCCACGGCCACTGTGCTGATTTATCACTGGACCCACTGCAAGGCATTATCTGTGTCTGCCTGCATTTAATCTCCGGTTTGATGTTTGAGGGAGAACCCGATGTCAGCTCAGCTAATTGGCTGCTAAAGACTCTGCTCCTTCCCTGCTTTCGTGCTAGATTCACCTTTTCTCCTTTCCTTTCTGCAATGCCCCCAGGTAAAAGACAAATGGCAACACATAAAAAATGACGCGAGTCCCTTAATTTGAACCAGAGGAGACAATAACAGTCTGGAGGCAGAGCTGGATTTATCTTTTCTCTCCGATGGAGGCCCCTCCTCCGGCGATGGCTGTGGGACGGTGTGAGCAGCATCTGAAGCAAATTGAGGGTAACCTTTCATTCCTCAGGGATCTTCCAGCAGGGTTTGCCGGTCCCAGGGACATCTGCAGCCCTCATGTTGGATTTTGGCAGCCTCTGAGCCCATTGTCAGCCAGTTCCATTGCATCCACTGGTAATGGATGGAGAGATGCCTGCCAAGTCGGCCCATGCATGCAGAGCCACGAGGGGCTGGGGGCTGTGGGCACGGGGATGGCGACAGAGCCCGGGCAGCTCTTGGCTGAGGGCGCACGTTCAGGGCCTTTCCAGAGGCTGTTTACCCACCCCAGACTGCAGCGTTTTCCCTCTCTGCGCTGTTTTCCTGCCGGGCTGGGTGCGGGTGCCTGGCAGCCAGGCCCGGCTCAGGGAGGAGCTGGGAAGGAATCAGAGTCTCGCCCTGCCGCCTCATTCACAGGGAGTTCCTTCCTTCTCGTGTCCAACAGCATGGAAAAACCAGAATGATGCATATTGAACAGAGGAACGGGGGAATCTTGACCTCTGCCTTGTGAGCTGTTGCACCATCAGCTCAGCGAGGAGAAGCTGAGTGTCAGACTCATGATGCTTGCACTGCATCAGTGTTTGTGGATTTTGCAATTACTTTGTCCAAGTTTTGAGGTGCTTGACTGTGCATCAGTCATGGCTTGGTTGCTGTTACAAACTCACTTTTATGTCCACACTGATTCTACACCAACCCACTGCCCTCCAGGCCATTCCCTTCCCTTCCCTTCAGTTCTCCAGCTCATTTTCTTATTTATTATCAAAACCATAGTGACCAAGGAGTGTGATCAGGGCACTTTATAAAACCTTTAACGGCATAAACCACCTAAACCACCTTCAATCTGTTTAGAGATGTCCTATCCCTTGTTTCCTGTTTTGAGGTTGTGCTGCGCAGCGCCAGGAGCTGGATTTGATGCCCTTGTGGGCTCCTTCCAGCTCAGCATGTTCTGTGATTCCATAACTCTGTGATTTGTCTTGCCTCAGGGGATGGAAAGACAGGTCAGTGAGGTGTCAGCCCCATTCCTGACCAGGGACACGGCCACATCTGCTGACACCCAGAGCCGTGGGTGCCCATCAGTGGGTTCAGTGTCTTCGCAAATCCCAGCTGTGTCCCGCACTGAAGCCCTGATAAATCCCTGCTGCAATTTTCTTAGAAGATCCCTGCAGCCCTTGCTGCCTTTCAGGGATTGTTTGTTTGGTTTTAGCACAATATAAGCAAACTGGAGGTTGGAGGAAGTTGCAGTGCCCCCAGCAAAGTGCCTGACTCCTCTGGAGGAGTGTTTGCACACAAACAGCAACGACAAAGTAATGGCTCCATCCCCCGGGATGTGAAATGGGCACTGATAAATTTCATCCAGCACATCAACAGCTTTTAATTTTCATCCTTTAAATCCAAGGGAAGGAAGGAAGGAAGGAAGGAAGGAAGGAAGGAAGGAAGGAAGGAAGGAAGGAAGGAAGGAAGGAAG